ACCGATGAACGCGTATTAGTTTAATGGTATCTATACAGGGTTGGGCACTTTTCAATTACAGTAATTCAATTACAGTAATTCAATTACTTAAGTAATTTGTAATTGGTAATTAATTATAAAAATATTTATGTAATTTGTATTTGGTAATTAGTTATTAAATGTTGATGTAATTTGTAATTGGTATAAAGAATTACAATTTTTCAATGATAAAAATTTAGAATTTAGGATTTTCTACAATGTACAATATATATATAACTTATATAGCATAAGTTTTATCGAACATTCGGCACCGATACTAAAAGATAATTTTATGATGAACATTACTACAAAATACAGATAATATAGACTCTTATCTTAATTGTCCATGTTCTATGTATACATTGACAATCGTACTGTACGATGTACTTCGTGTCTACGTACAGGCTTTAGTAACCATCTCGTTGTCGTCCGTCACTGAATAACGTCTTAAAAATTGATACTTTAAAATTTTAATTTTTCCTTTTTTATTAATAAGTAAAAAATTACTAATATGAACGCTGATGAATTTTCTCAAAAAAATATCAACCATCCAATTTTTGATGGAACATTTTTTACTATTAAGAAAATCGAAAATGATAATGTTCGAGCTCTTTGTATTTTGTGCAATAACGATAAGGCTGTGATTTCTGGTTCCATTCAAGCCAACTCAAATTTTCGGACTCATATTAAGGTATCTATTATTAAATAATAATATTTAAAACAATTATTGAATGTATGTTTTATACTTTATACAAAAGTTTGTGGTAAATCAAAATAACAGCAGATAATGCATTTTTTTATTTAGAGAATACATAAAGATAAATTCGAAGATTTCCAAACTCATTTAAAGTCACAACCAAAATCATCTAAACGAAAAATATGTAGTGACGATACCGTTTCTTCTCCAGTATTAAAACAAACAAAATTAATAAACGGATCAAAATTATCCACTTCTAAACAAAATACACTCGATTCAAATATAATAAATAATAATAAATTTTTAAATGTAATTGGTAATTGTAAGTAATTCAATTATGTAATTTGTAATTTGTAATTAAATGTTCTACAATCATGTAATTTGTAATTTGTAATTAATTACTGGTATTTTGAGTAATTTGTAATTTGTAATTAATTACTTTTTTTTTGGTAATTTGCCCATCCCTGTATCTATATACGCGGCCACCGATAACATTATAAATTATATTTATCTCGTCATGTTTAGGTCTCTAAAATTGCACGGCATTTATTATTTTGAAATATTTACATAATATATAAAAAAAAAAAAATTAATTAATCATTTAATTTTTAATTTGTATATTATACCTTAGTAACTAGTTACTATAGAGTACGTCTTTCAAATATGAGATGGGTCCTATCACTGGATAGCTTCCCTACTCACCGTCTTATTGTCCGTCATATTTTGTTTTCATATTTGCTTATTGTATTTTTTTTATATACAAAAATTGTAAATGTTATATTTTATATTTTAATAAAAAAAAAAAAAATATGAGATAAAAACGTTTTATACACAAATAAGCATTTAATTAAATAAATGATACAATATTACAATATTACATAGGTTATTCTTTATAAGTTAAATTGTGGATATTATATTATTAATTATGGCAATATATCCATTTTTTATTTAAAACATACTTCATGAATGATTATACCATAATCAAATACAGTTTTCAGTTGACAAAACTACACAAATGGCATTCATCAATATTTTCATATAATATGTATGTAATATACTAATATGTAATGACTAATGACCTAAGTCGCTGATAAATGATAATATAATCTTCATAACACTATTATAGCCCATAACCATTATAATATTGTTTTAAATTATAATTGTTTTAATGAAAACAATTTTAATTATAAATCTATAGAATACTAAATTTTATATTATATATTTATAAGCAAATATGCATTTTATTTTACCATTACAGTTATATTTTTAACTTTTAATAGTTAGAACTCTCGAGTTATAAGTTATGACTCCATATAACATATTATCAACAAATGAATAAACAAATATTTGAAATATTTCATAAAGAGTAAAGTTTTCAAATATCTACTCATACGCCTATAATGCATAATTGCAATATTATATTACTTATTATAATAGCAATTACAATGGCGTTGGTACAACGTGGACTGAATCCACCTAAAGTATTAGAATTGGTCACCTATTGCAGGCTTTTGGCCATAGCCAAACCGTAGACATGGTTTGAGACATTGGCTAAAGGGGCAACATTATATGTGAACATTATTTATTTGGCACTTACCCACCCTGCATGTATGGGGGGTAGGTAACCTAACCTTGAAAAATTAAAAGTTTGGGTAGGTACCCCATCACACAATACTATAATATGAACAAAACAACACTAAATATTACTATCTTGATAACTGTTGTAGTATTGTTTTACTCGATCAGATACAAAAATAGTGGATATATTTTTAACTGAATTAAATTAAAATATTTTTTTAAATAATGACCCAATTGGCTATAATATTTTGATAAGATTGAAATACATATTCTGAATTACAATTTTTTTTTTACGAGACGGAGTGACGATGACCCTCGACAACAACGACATTTTAGGCCTGACCACACCGGTTTGACATCGAAGTGGTATTATAATATTATTAATATTATTATATGGTTATAGGCTAGATATCTTTTCGTAATGCAAACCTACATAGGTGTGGGTACAGGCTCGGCGGACGGTGCCAATGATTTGAAAAAAAAAACAATTATAATAAATAAATAGTATAAAACGTTTTAATGCACAATTATACCTATTTGAATGTGTATTTATATTGCATAGGTATATTACAGTATCTATACACATATTTTCCGTATGCTGCAGAAGGCGCGTTCTCACATTAGCTAATTGGTTTTCCATGTACAGTAGCCCTGAATTACGCTAATGACCGGTACGAAAATGGTACCGACGGCGGCGGCGGCGACGACAACGATTATTATTATTGTTATTGCCGGATAAGGTCAAGGTACGGTCCTAACTGGTGGAGCGGGGAATTAAGGATGCGGACTTATCGGTACAGCGCATAATATGCAGTATATAAGTATATTATATAGGTATACAGAATCCTTGAAAGGCGCCCGGGACTGAGAGCATTCAGCATAATGTAATATGTATAATAATTGATTACGATATATGTATATATAATAATATATAACGTTCGCGTTTGTGCAATCCATTATCTCAAACTAAGAGATAGTCCGCGTTTATTTATTATTATTATTATTATTATTATTGTATCCATTGTTGTTGTCGTAGGTATAATAATATACGTATAATATTATAATGTGCGTACTCGCGGCTCTCGGGAGAGAAAAATCGAAGAAATGGTCACGACGCACGAGTCGGCGGTGGTCGGTCGGTTTTTTTTCCGCTCTCGCCGTTGAAAAGNTATTTTTATTTACTCTATTTATTTTTGTAAAAGGTTTTTGTAGTTAATTCTTTGCGAATAAATATCATTATTATTATAAAACTGTTTCTCATTATGTCCTAAGCATTGCATAGTGATACATTTAAAATAAATAATTAAAATATTATTTCTCAATATTTTTATATATAAAAAATCATAATTGTACTATTTTCATACACATGTGTCATAAATATCAGTATTATAATTTGAATTCATAAAATAAAATTGAAATTGCAATAGATAAGAATCAAGTATTTAAATTAGAGACAAGTTCTTTTTGATTATTGTTTCAATTTTTATCTTGATATTATGCATACTGTTAGTTATACTAGTGTCATCGTATACATCAGAAAAATATTTTTCTGTCCTTTACAGACTTACATAAGGAGTACTATGAGTCAAACTTGGTTAAATGATATTTCCATTCTTCATGTTCACAGTAATGGAGGAATAAATTTAGAAACTGTTACAAACCAATAATTGGCGTTTTCAAATTAAACTTATTGACCAAGCTCATCCAACATTTAAGAATCATTTAGAAAAATTGAAAATATCCGTAAACATCTCAATACTTGTTAAAATATTTTGAAAATGTTATTGAGTATTATAATTGATAAAATAAACATACGGTGTAAGTTTCAAGTATCTACATTTATTCATTTTTGAACAATGATAAAATATGAAAATCGCTGTGTGAGATATTGATTGAATAAATTGACAAAACTTCACCTACAAACTTTCATTTAAACATTTTTTTTTCTTATAGGTAGACAAACTTACAAGATATCTTAAGCTTCGTTTTAAAATCTAAGATATAAAAGAAATTATTTTATGAATTTCTAACTCAAAATAATTAACACATTTTTGTGATTTTTGAGAATCTTATCAAAGTTGTAAATTCAAACACTCATAAGAAATTATTGTGGATTTAGGCTCTATTTTTTTTTTGTTAATTTCCACTAACAACAATTTATTTTTTATTTATGTCAACATCAAAGATATAATTATTTGTAAGATTCTTCTGAAATTGTTTCTTCAGGTTTTTAAAGTCAATGTCATATTAAGCAGTAACTAATATGTTCAATTTGTTTACTTATTATTACAGTGTTTTAAAAATACTTTTGAAAAGTATTTAACTAGTTATAACGTATACCATTATAACATTACTAGGTATTAGTTATAACTACCTATTTATTGGGTGCAGTCATGATAAATTGATTTTGTAAAACATTTTTGGGAAAGTAATGTTATTTAGAATGCTCTACCTTTTAAACGAATAAATAACGTGATAAAAATAATGTCGGGTATCAGTAGGGTAATTTACCAAAATCTGTAGTACTTAATATTGACTAATAAATATCCATGTAAAGTATTAACACCCACAAACTTTTGTTCATAGGACTGAATTTATCAAAAATACAAAATTTTACTTAAATAATACTCAATTTACATGACATAAGTGTACACGACATACCTGATTCCAGAAGTTTCAATTATTATTGTTATGTTATTGTCATCTGGCTCAGAAGATCTAGACATATGTAATTAACACTAACAAGTTTCATGTGATAAACAGTCCTCTCTCTACAGATGATTGATGATTTCATTTTTTTGTTCTTATTAAGAACTTTAAAAATGTGTCTATTTATAATGTATTCTCTTCTATACTGAGTCCTAGAAAAATTTTTAGGTTCCATAAGTTTAATATTATACTATGCCAAATAAAATAGATAAACTAATTTAGCAATTTTGAATATTTATAACAAAAACATACTATGTAGTTATTTAAAGATTTTTAAATCAGAAAACCATATTATTCATGTTCATAGAATCATGAATAATTACCGGCGGGCAGAAGATTCCATCGAAATCCGGCAACCTAGGCCACTTGCGAGCAATGAAAGGATAAAAAAATAACCTTGGGCCTTACGATACTCGAATAGAATCGTTTTACTGTAGCAGAGTTCTTCGGTTACACTAAGCATGACAACACCAAATTTTGGAGTAGAGGGGCCTAATGTTCACAAGGTGAAAATTATAATTCTAATAGTTGTTTTATATTATTGTTTATTATTAATTAAAATAGAAATTTCTCCGACAGAAATCTTCCCCTTTAAAATATAATATAAATAAGTTCTTTATTTTAGAACAAAGAAATTGAGTTATAATTGGATACTAGTCACTACCAGCATTCTTCCAATGAGTTCTGAGGCATTAAAAAATACTTTTATTAGTACCATTTCCTATTTATGCAGAGCAAGATGCAAGGAAGGATGATATTTGCCATCAATTTCTGGAACATTATAATGAAGGTTAATATACTGACTTGTGATAGGTTATTGACATATTATTTAGTCATATTATGAGCAATTTAATATTCTTGCAAAATTTACTCCGATGTTAATCTTTTAGAGCTAGATAATGAAATTGTACCATACGTGGTGGACCATTTGATGATACATTTTATTAATCTATTTTTTTTCTATTTTTTATTAAAAACATTTTACAGTGTACAATGAAGTCAATTTTTCATTTGATTTTTTTTATTTAATTTAATTTTAATTTATAATAAAATTGTATTATTTGTTTTAAACTATACTTGAATACTTGTGTATAGTAAAAGCATTTGTATATGATAATTATTAACACATTCATTTTTTTTATGATTTTTTTTTTTAATAATATTTATTGGGAAAATGATAAATATGGTATATAAAATGGAATAATTAGATCAAATTATTAAACTTAGAAAATCAAATAGATTACCTAATTTGTAACATTTCCTTGGGCATTTACTGTACACAGAAAAAAAAATACTGACAATTCATAATTAAATAAAATAAAGTAAATAAACAAATCTTAATTTTCTAAAATTGCTTAAGGTATACTTAGTGATCTCACTATAAGTTTTATTTTCATATAACTATACATATTGTTCAAGTAATTAAAGTACAGAGTACTGTATAGTTTTATTTAAATTACTAAAAATATTGTTCAAATAACTGAATTTAAAAATACATTCAACTATAAAATGATGTACAAATGACTATAAACATTGTAAAAATAACTAAATTATAATACACGGAGTACTAAAAATGTTAGGTACCAACATAACAATATATTTTTAAGCTGAATAACTATAAAATCATAACTAATTATTTTTAATACATTTGATTAACATTATAGTTATTTATCACTGTATCAATTGCATAATTCAGTTAATTCTTCTATTTTTATAGTGCAATTATCTATTTTGTTTTTTCTGTATACAAAACAGATACTGTCTAGAGAAATGTACTTAGCAAATATTATAAGTTGTGACACTTAGGTTAGGGGTACACTTTGATAGCATTTTTGACGAAAGTATTGAGTAAGTATACTATCTATTATTGTAATTGTTTTATTTTATTTTATTTAAATACAAAACTTTTACATTTTTAATTATTTATATAGCCATACAGTAACAATGTTAACAATAATGTATTCATACCTTTATCTCACATTTAATCGTTCTGAAGGTGAAATTGATGGACAACCACTATTTGAAACTTTAAATTTACTTTCTAATTTCCAGAGAAATTCGTCGAATGAATTGATGGACATTCGAAAATAATTTAAAAATTTCTTTTCATTGTCTTTTATATACCCATTACCCATACAATGTTAAAAAACTTCTTTTTGAAATTCTTTGTGCAAGTAAAGGATGAACCCATGTTCTCTACTATTTTAACTTATGATTTTTTCTTCTTTTTATAATATGATGTGCT